ATGATAATCGCGAATCCGAAAATTATTTTAATGAAATTTCAAGTGAAATTTATACACACAACGAGATTAATTCATGGATTAATATTGATGCTAGAGATCAGGGTTGGGAACCGCAAAATATCAATGACATTATTAATAATTTACATAATACCAATGAACATGAATCTGCGGATGAAGAGGAACCAGAAGATAATGCCACGCCAGACAAATTATCTAAAGATATTATTCAGGCTGTACATACTTTTAAAAATTGGTCACAACGCCAAAAAGAATGTACAATAACAGATTTTTATTCTATTACAAAATTGTTGTGTGTTGCTGAGAAGCTATTAAAGTAAGAATATTTTATATGCAAATTTAATATAAGCATAAAAATTATTTTAAACAAAAGTTTATGTTTGAATATAAATTTTATAAGAAAAGTTATAATTTGACTTGAAACTGAATTAAATAAAAATAATTACATTTAATAAGTATGTATTTAATATGTATGTCTTATTTGTTCCATTCTGTAGTAAATAAAAACATTTTGAACTATTCAAATTATAAAAATGATAGATTATTTATTTATTTTGTTATAATAAATCTTTTTCTAAAGCATTTAAAAAAATATGTACTACACATGTGCTTAAAAAGATTATTACGGCCCTGCTTTGGGCGGAGCTAAAACAACCTCTTTATAGTCACATTTCGGTCCCGAGTGTGTGACTATAAAGAGGTTCTACTGTATGTCTGGCGATGTGGCATTATCGCTCACGTGGCGTCGTGTAGCATCGCGCGTGCCTCGGCGCGATTCCCGATCCGAGCCGGCAACGAGGCTCACTCTCGTTGCGCCTCGCGTACCAAGCACACATGTATTTCCGTACATGTATATTTGTACTCAATAAACCATACTCGGGGATTATCACCATCGTGTAGTTAATTGTTCTCACCCACGTGCTCAGTTACGCAGGAACGGGTACATAGCACTAATTATTGCGCAATTTTCGTTATAAATAATAAATAACAAGAGTTTTAAAAAATTTTCATTATTTATTATAAAGTTGTGTGTGTGTGTGTGTGTGTGTGTGTGTGTGTGTGTGTGTGTGCGTGCGTGCGTGCGTGCGTGCGTGCGTGCGTGCGTGCGTGCGTGCGTGCGTGCGTGCGTGCGTGCGTGCGTGCGTGCGTGCGTGCGTGCGTGCGTGTGTGTGTGTGTGTATAAAATTTTGTAAATTGTAAATAAGTATACATACCTCATCTGTATCTACAATTTTTTTAACCTTAATTGTATCCGCCATCTCTAAGTCGTTCTTGTCAGTTTTTTCTATTTGATTGAAATTATTTCCTGGCATTATTTGGATATCATCAATAGGAATGGTTTCCATCAAATTTTGATTCATGTTCTCCATGTTTTGCATTAATCCCGGCTCATCCATATCAACGGGAATCATTTTTAAAATTTTAATATCCGTTTCCACATCGTTTGTTTTTGATAACTGCTCTTCCTGTACAACATATTAAATATTTAACAATTAAATAATTTTTTAATATTAAAAATTTGAAATATAATAATTATATTTATTATATATAAATCCAGTATCCATACCAACTTTTCTGCAAAAGTACTTTTCGCATTCGGGGACAAATTTTCACATGCTATCTGCAATTTATTTAAAATTCGGTCTGTCACAGTTTCCAATTTGTCGACCTCTAAAAACATTAAAATTTGATTTAAAATAATGCATAATTAAATTAGTAAGTTTATTTTTAATAAATCATATTGTTCAACATTAAGCCTTTCACTGATATTTAACATGTCAGATGGAATTTTGTATCTAAAACATTTAAATGAAAAATTTTTTTTTTTTTAAATATTTGGAATGTTCTTGAATTTGATGATTACAAATTTTATACTAATTTAGAATTGTAATCAACAACCCAAAAAATTTCAAGATATTTTCAAAGCTCAAATTTTTTAAATACATTAAACACAATTGCGTTTAATTTTTAACAAATTAAACATTAAATAATATAAATGTTTACTTTGTGATAATAATTCAAGTTTCACGTCAATGTCGATAGTTCGTTTAACTAATTTTACATCTTTTTTCTTGTTGACCAGTGATTTATTATAACTGCTGTCATCATTGGAAGAGACTGTTTCACTTTCAGATGAAGTAAACGACGACTGAAATTAAAAAATACAGATATCAATGGAAAATGGGATGCATATAAAAAGCAATATAAATAATAATAATAATAATAAAATAATCTTTCTAAAGCGTAGAAGCAATGTATATTAAATTTGTTACTTTGATATGCATATTCGATGATATATATTCCAACTATTTTAAGATTTTCTTTTTCTTTATCTATCTTATTGTCACGAAAAAACAATTAGCCAGAATGACTTGGAATATTTCCGGAGTGCATATTTATAACAGATCAATAAACACATTATTCTTACAGTGTATGATAAATACTTCTGTTCCTTAATTTGTTTTACAATACCCTCTTGCGATGCCACTTTCAATCTTTTATGAAACTGTAAAATATATAAAAATTACTTTATAATTAGAAACATTTCCTCCAAACT